CAATTATGAATCTCTCAAAAAAGTGAGTTAGTTCTTGTGAATAATGACCTAATAAATCTAAAAAATAATTTATATTCTTTAATTAAAGAATTAAATTAATAGTGTGTTGTATAATGAACTTTTTTCAATCAAAATTGATTTTTCAGATTTAGGTCAAACCCGTGGAAAATAATAATTTTCTTTGCGATTTTGTTTGAACTCGCAGCATCAGGTAAGATGGTATTTATTTAAATTCAATAATTAGGTCAGAAGTTTAATAAATCGTATGAAAATTAATTAATACTATTTAAAACTAAAAACATATTATACATATTTTATTTCGTATATGTGACACATTTGTTTAAATATATTCTTGCTCATATTTATTATGTCTTCGTAATTTTATCATTTTTAAACAGAATGTTGGTCTTAATTTTATATTTTAAAATTTGTATAAAAATCCCTAATATATTCTAAAATCCATCGAATATAAAATTGAACTTATACTAAAAAACGCCTAAAATTCAGTAATTTGTTTCATTGTTTCAATTTACATTATGGGTAGTTACTTTTATTTTACTTAGGATTTAATTAATATATAAGAAAATTTTACTTAGTATATTGTAATTCGGAGAAACGTGTTCATCAGTGAAAATAAAAAACTAATACAATTTAAAAAAATGTAATATTGAATTATATAAAATAAAAATTGGATTTGTCGTCTAAAAAGCATTTTTTCCGATATTTCCAAGAGATTTGCTACATTATTCAGGTATTTTACATAATCCATTCAATGAATAGAAATAAATATTCTAATTTACTTGAGATTCCATAAAAATTCATTGATATGGTAGTGAGAAAAATCAAGAACCTAAATTCTTATCGAATTATATCGTAAACCATTTAAAATATTACTAAAGCGTGAAAAATAATTTAAAGTTAAACCATATATCTTTATCCGCTGAATTCAAAATAATTCTTACGTATTTATATATGATTTCCATAGATCAAGGTAATGCCAAATAAATATTTTTTTTTAAAAAAAGATTTCCAATCAATGAGGAGCCTTTAAAAATATAACGTTCTTGACTGTAATTTTATTAGTTATTTATTGATGTATTTATTTTACACGACATAATTTATACAACAAATTTATTATTTAAAGGAATAAAAAATTGGATTGAAGACGACATTCTCTAAAAAATAAATTATATCCTCTCTTGAGTTAAATATAAACAAGCATAATAAAAAATTTATTTGTAGACTTTGCAAAATGCTTATTAAGACAAAAATATATTATAATACGTCGCAGATGTGTCAATTAAAACATATTCAAAATAGTAATAAATCATATAGATAATAGTTTTCATTAAGTTATATTGAGGTAATGCAAAATAAGTATTTTTAGAAAAAAATTACTCTCTCAATCGATGAGCCTTTATAACGCCGTAAACTGTAATTTTATTAGTTTTCTATTGATGTATTTATTTTACACGACATAATTTATACAACAAATTTATTATTTAAATGAATAAAAATTTGAGTGAAGACGACATTCTCTTAAAAATAAATTATATCCTCTCTTGAGTTAAATATATACAAGCATAATAAAAATTTAATTTGTAGATTTTGAAAAATGCTTATAGTTTAAGCAAAAAACTAATGCGTCATAAGTATACCAATTAAAATAAAATATATTCAAAATAGTAATAAAATTCATAGATAATACATTTTATATACAAGTTGTATTAAACCTCAATGATATTTATATTATGATACATAAGAAATAAAACGTAAGGTCTGAAATATATACGTTAAAAAGAGACAAAAATTTGCAAATTGATTCATGCAAATTAATAGTTTTTTTTTCATATTGGTTATAAATTGTAATATATTTTGGCATTTTAATAGACTGAAGTCGCCACAAACGTCAGATTGTCGTTTGTTGACAAATTTTCAAGGTTTTCTACACAAGTGTCCAAAAATTTAAATTTTTGTCATCACAACTCTTGTTTAAATTGTATAATAATAAACAAACAATAAAATAACATCAATAGCTTTTTTGCAGATTTCCTTTAAAATGTATGAACTTTATAATTACTGAATATTTTTAAATACATTTGCGAAAGCAATATTATATTATTACCAAAAATTGAGGCTTTGTCGTAATTAATTATTACAATTTTTAAAAAAATTTCACAATGACTCGTTATTTCAAAATTTCCAGATAGAAACTTAAGTGCTTCATCATTCTGATTTATAAATTATATAAATATAAAATCCTATTTGGTTTGAATTATTTAGAAAGTGATGATAAAAATTATTATTTGGGGGTTTATTAAAATGATGAATCAAAATAGCAATTGATAATTGATACAAAATATTTTATCCCAAAAAACACAATAAACTCATTTTATAGATACACTTAATGATTTAATTAAAATTCATATATTTGACTGACAATAGTATTTGACAAAAAACAAACGTAATTATTATCATGATTATAAATTTGTATTTTGTATTCATATTAGTGACTATATAAAACCTATAGACTAGCCGAATACTTAATATAATCACTTTTCCACAAAATCTAGCAATATAAGATAAATTTTTAATAGTAAAAATATTATATTGTGAAATGTTTTAACCACTTCCAAGCAATAAATAATAAATTGATAGTGATAATGTATCCTTTTGAATAATACGCCTACCATATGTTTATAAAATTGACTATGAAGATTGCGATATTGTTTATATAGGTGTAAGTAACAGGATAATATTTAATAAAACTCTTGAAAAAAATATTAATATTCTTAAAAGATATTTAAAAAAAAAACGCTTAAAAGAGATTTACAATATATTTCATCCCAAAAACACAAAAAACTCATTTTATTGATACACTTATGGATTTAATTGAATTGCAGAAATTTGAAAAAATTAATTAATACCATAATTATATATAATTTGTACTTATTCGTGTTCATATTAGTGACTATAAAACCTATAGACTAGCCTATAGGCCCTATTTATTTAATATAATCACAGTAAAAATATTATATTGTGGATTTTTTCAACTACTTTTCCAAACAATAAATAATAAATTGATTATGATAATGAATCCTTATGAATATACTTCCACCACATGTTTATAAAATTGACTGTAAAGATTGCGATGCTGTTTATGTAGGTGAAACAGGACAATATAATAAAAACTCTTGAAAAGATTATTAATACACTTAAGAAATAATTAAAAAAAATGATTAAAAAAGCTTTGCAACATTTCAAAAATAACAATTAAGCCTGACAATAAAATAAAATACAAAAATTATACTGTATTTTGTACTCAATTTAATTTACTACCAATTAAAAAATGAAACAAAATGCGCACCAGTTATCGCATAAAATAACAACCAACTAACCAGAATATACAATGAAATAATAAATTTTGAGAACAAATAATAAAAACACTTGAGTTTTGTCTATGTTAATAATCTTCATGTAATTATAAAAAAATCAATTTTATATCGGTCATTCAACAAAATAGCACACAATAAAATTTTGAAGCAGATCCACAAAATCACACATGGCTCACACGTCAATGTTAATAAAATTATTTAATTATGATATTAAATACTCGTCGGTGGTTTAATAAAATAAGCAACAAATATCTAGAACATACAATGAATTTGAAACAGTTTTATAACAGTTACATTTGAATTTTTTACTGGAATAAAATACCAAACATTTACTAATAAAATAAATATTGCATGAATCACTTCTTCATTTAAGAGCAAACATTTATAATATCAAGACCAAATCTGATAAAATTCCGATGCATATTTTCAAAAATTATACAAGGGCTTTGTACTGACTTTAATATTGATACAAATCATTTATTAAAGAAATAAAATAAATAAGATATTTTATAAAATACCCACTAAAAATAACTATCAAAAAATAATAATCCGAGGCAGATTCACAAGAATCGCACATGAGTTTTGTAATAACTTATTATATTAATATTAAATCAATAGATATTATTTAGTTATGAAATGTAATGCACGTCGGTTATTTTATTAAATAAATGAGCAATAAATAACTAGGATATAGCATAAAATACGTTTATTAAGCAGATTTGTAAAAATTACACTTGAATTTTGTACTGGCTTTAATATTATTACCAATCATTTAATAATAAAAGTAGTATCATTTATTTAATAAAATATAACACTGAATACCTATACAAAATTTTATATAATTTTGAGATAGACCTAAAAATTATACACGAATTCTGTATTAATTTTAATATTAATACCAATCATGAAATAGGCACCAAATTACATCAAAAATTATAAAATTCTGAGGTATATGAGATTTCAATACTTTTGTATTTTTGTCATGTATAATAAGATAATGTTTTTCTATATTATATATAAAAGTACTAATATAAAATATCTAACATGTAATGCAAAAGACTAATACCAAGAGTAAAAAAAACGTTTAAGTTATATAACATCGATTTTATTTAAAGAAATAAAATATTTGTTTTTGAGCATCAACTAAAATTTTGATGCAAATTCCCAAAAATCGCACTAGAGGCTTTACTGAATTATTAAAATCATTTATTCATCAGAATTTAAAAGCAAATTTACATCGGTTATTCAAAACATATGTGCCAGAATAACTACATTATACATTAAAATAATGAAATTTCGAGGCTTACACTAAATAAGGTATCTACAAACTGGTTAACGATAAACCAAAAAATTTGGTAATAAAATATGAGAAAATCAAAACAAATGTTGGTTAAAACTTGGTTTTGGTCATACATGAAATTAAAAATATAAATGCAGTAAAAAGGGCAAGTATTAGTGAGTAATAGTTACATGTGCATTTTGATTAATTGGAAAACTAGATCGGATCCATATCCTTTCTACAAAATATCAAAGGTATCAAAATAATGGGAGCAGTATTAAAATAGAAGTAATGAAAAGATTAAAATTGTGAATGAAAAAATAAAGATGATCGCCAACTTTCTAGAGAAAAAATACAGGAACTTGATAGACAAGGCACAAGAACATGGAAAAAGTTGTTTGACTAGAAAGTTTACGAATAAAATAGAAATAATGGATTAAAAAAGGATAAATTGTGGTGTTTTAAAATTATGAAAATTATTAACGCATTAAACATCAATGTATTTCATCATATAAATATTTGTTCGATTAAAGATTTTAATAGCTGAATAATCTAAAATATAATATACTTACTTAAGTTCTTAATCATATACATATTGAGCTTTTTCAAATAATATTTATTAAATATTGTTATTAAATCGATAGTTTAGTTTTGGAAAATTGCTTTAAAACGTTAGTAATTATTTGTGTTTGGTACTCTATAATTTAAATATTTTGTTAAATGGCACACAATCACTATTACACGACTTTGTAGAAATCTTTAAAACACAAATCAAAGTAAAAAGAATATTGTTCAAGAATTAAATTGAAAAAATGTTAAATATTTTTTAAAAACAATTATAAGAGATCATTTTTCGTTTCTGATCCCAACGGATTTGCTGGGTAAATTTATACTTATAATTACCTAAAAGCACTTATAATTATCTAAAAAAATTTCTATTTTCATAATGTACAAGAAGATAATTATAATTGGATTTATTGATATAGGTATTATAAGTATTATGCAGATAGTCACTTGTGTTTGAAAATAGTATTTGTATAAGTTCATATATCGAAAGTATATAATATGATTTACATTAGGACTAAACTAAATGCATTTTACACATCTTCTATTTCGATAAATAAACCATTATAATTTATACATTTGTTATCAACTTCAGATAAATTTATCTAAAAGTGTATTAAAAATGCTAAAATTTGTCACAAGTTATAACAAAAAATTAATGAATATCTAATAACTACATTGAAAACGATAGGAAATTCAAAATTTTCAATAACGTCAAAAATCCATTAACATTTCGAAACCTTTAACCCAGCCATTTATTTTCTTCAAAAACAAGAATTTCGTAAATAATTTTGCAAGTTCTGATAGCATTTTTTGTCTTATTAAAATATTTCCTGAAAAAAATGTATAAGTTGCAAAAATTAAAGTAATATCCAAATAATAAAATATGTTGTAAAGTAGGTGACTGCAATAAATTACATACCATAAAATAGTTATATTTTAAAAAAAGAAGTGATCTATTAATAAAACCAAATAGAAATACACACCAAATACCTCGATTAAATTCCATTCTTCCCTTTCCACTTACAATATAAATTACTTTTAATTTCTTAAACTTTAATAAATTGTTTATTATTTATAAGTTATATAATATTATTCATAAGGCATATAATACTGTTTGAAATTTTAAATTTTTTTTTATAGCAAATACATTTTATCTAACGCAAGTAAATTTTCTTTTATTTTCAATTCTCATAATTCCCACAAAATTTGTTTTAAACATCTCTAACATAGGGATAATCAAAAGTTTTAGGTTTACCACATAATCATATTAAAAAAATAATAGCAAAAAATTAGAAAAGTACTATATATGATTTCAAATTCCAGATGAACAAAATTCTGAAGACTCACAGGAAGAAGTTGACCCTGATCTTCCAAATGAAGACCTAAACCAGCATAAGAATTGGAAATTGCTCAATGATGAAGATTGTGGTCTCAGTATAAGTGATAGGATAGTTGGAGGAAAAAATGCCAGTCTAGGACAATATCCTTGGATTGCAAGATTAGGATATGCAAGTAAGAGTAAAAATATTTTTTTCTAAATCAACTCGGTAAACATTTTACATATTCTGTTAACGGACTTGTACCGACAGTAATTCTGACAAATTTGATATAATAATTTGGTATGCCAAAAATTGTACCAGGCGTTGGAACTTAATCAGCATATCACTGAAATAAATCATAAATTATGAAAAATATTTGTCAAAAAACATCATAATTTGTGTTAGGCACAAAATATAGGTAATCACTGACGATTTGAAGGTTTTTGTAAAAAAATATTTGATTGTTTGTTTATAACTACAAAATCAGAGTAATAATGATAACTACGTCTTTTAAGGCAATATCATATTAATTTTGTGCACATCCAAAAGTACATAAAAATAAAAAAATATTCAATAATTAATTATTTATATTAAAAATAATTTAGGAAATATAATTAGGAATTAGATAAAATGGAAAATAACAGTTAAAAATAGTTTTTAGTATTTTTAATATTTTCTTAAGAAGATCATTATCTGAAAATATTAAAAATACAACAATGTTCTGAAATATTTCTTCTAAAAATATTCTTGCAAAATAAAAAGTGAAAATGTTTTAAGATATAAATAGACAACAACTTTATATTTATTTACCTGTTAGTTTTATAATATTTTTTCTAATCGTTATAGATTTTTATGATTTGTTCATCAACTTATTATTATTTAGGATTATATTTAAACAATTTTGTGTGACCAAAAAAAAATTAATCAAAATTTTATATTATCATACAAATAGCTAGAAAAAATTATAAATGGAAGTGAAAATTAAAATTAAATAAAAAAAATCATTGCAATAGAATTTAAATTGCATATAAAATGATTTAAAATAAAATCTGGCATAAAATGAGTTAAAGGATCCCATTAATGAACAAATAACTGTTAATAGTTTACTTAATTTTATTGTTTCATTTAAAATCGTGAAAATCAAATATTTAATATTCAGCAATTTTTCTTAACACATCGTGTTCTGAATTATTACTCTTACAAAGAAATTCTGTTAAGACCAAAAGTTAAAATATATTTACACTTGTAAAATTTGTTTATTTGAAAGTTCTTGCTTTTAAATAAAATTCTTATGGCATATACATTTCAAAAAAAAATTTTTTTGTCGAAAGATGTTAATAGTCAGTTAATAGTTAATCTGAACAAAAAATATTTTTTTAATTATATATATATATATATATATATATATATATGTTGCTCAAATGTTTTAACAAAACAAAGCGAAGAAAATGGGTCGGTTTTAATCATCATATTAAACTTCTTAAAAAACAAGCTAATAATTTTAACAAAATTTGCCACAGCGTGTGATTTATATTTTTGAGAAAAATATTGATAAATTTAATTGTGAAAATGATAACTTTTTTCATTACATCTTTTCTAAAAATTTGGTTATTGTAAAACTTACGAGTGACATTTCATGAGGTACTGGATAAGATTACGTCTTAACACTAAATTTTTTTTTTAATATTTAGTGTTAAACAAAATTATGAGATACTATTGGTTACTAAATTTATTAAAGAAAATATTTTCAATTTCAATCGAATCGATTTTAAAATTTATTATTCCAATATTTTATTTCGTTACAGTTATTAGGTTTAAATATTGTGTTTATATTATTTGTTGCAGTTTCCAAATTTTAACTTGTTCCTTAAATACATATTTAACTTGATCTTTGAATTGATTTCTTGTACAATATCAAATACAAAAATATGACGTGTTGGAGATGAGGCAATAAATGATTTTTACTATCACGCAAAATTAGTGAATTAAAATTAGGAATAAATATTTACACAAATGATTATGATTGTCAGTGAGTTTTTTAGCGCAAATAAAAAATTATTTTTGAGATTAAATCATACCTATATGATTTATTATATGATGAAATAATTTTCTAGAAAGTAAATTTGTAATTTTATGTTTATTAACAGTTGTAACGAAAATTCGTCGTAACATACATATATTTAAAATCGATCGCCTAAAATATTTAAAATGCTTTGCCTAAAATTGATTAATAAAATAAGAACTTCCACTAGTCGGACATATTCATGCACTGCGAATTCGTGTATCGTGTATCGAATTTTATAAAATATTTGAAATTGGTAATTCTAGTGATTTTGTTTTGTTTCAGAAAAGATTTTGTATCCTGATATGTACGATTATTCTGATGCTGAATATTTGGATGAAAATAAAGTGCTGGTTTTCGAATGCGGTGCTTCTTTAATAAGTGATTTATATGTTGTTTCTGCAGCACATTGTGTGGTGGGCCTGCCTTCTTCAATAACATTGTAAGTAAAAAAATAATCTAACTAAAATAATTTTAATAATTTTAATCCGATTTAGCCTACAAATTACTATCTATTTTCCACGATAATACACCAGATTTTAACAATGCCTTGAAATATAATACTTGATATAAATATAAAATCAACATAGAAAAAAAATTGTATGCTTTAAAATTATGATTTTGAAAATAAAGGAATTGCTGAAAATAAAATTCATTTTCCCAAATTCATGAGATATACTAAAATTTATAATAAATAATTCTTGATTAAAACTCGTCAAATAACAGCTTATTATCAATAAATTTATGATTAATATTATTAGTATTTTGAAGTACTAAAAATTACGAAATATATTTATTGATTTATGTCTAAATAAGTCGATAGCTGGTTAGGTGTTTAAAGTATATGTAGATAACAAAAAACAATAAATCGATACAAAATATAACATTTTGGCAGTCATAATTGATGCAATCAATTATTTATATTTGCATGAGCACTCAAGTTACAATCTTTTTGCAAAAGATTTTCATATTATTAAATCAGTCAAAATTAATCATCTATTCGGTTTCTATAAGAATGAATATTACAATGAAGATGATTGAATCTTAAAGAACAGATTTTAAAAATATTATAGTCTCATCCAGTGAACAGAACAAAATCATTCGTATATCAAATAAGATAGAAAGAGGAAAATATTATATATTATATATTAACCTTGGTAAAAAAAAAATTAATGTGATTAAATCAGTCAAGATGTATTAAACTATTGGGTTAAATCTCAAAAAATAATTTTTAGAAATATCATAGTTGCATCCAGTATGAACAGAACAAAATCATTTGAGAATTAAATAAAATAGACAGTTAAATTTTTTATATATTATATAATAATCTTGGTGCCAACTACAATTATATAAGTAAAATTATTATTATCAATAAAAGCATTCATCGAGAAAGGTGACAAATGTTGCAATGCATATAATGAAATCATTGTATTAATAATCTATGCTCATTTCCTTATTTTCCACATGCAATTTCTACACATTGCATATGAGAAACCTACTTTCTAAATGACTAATAAAAATGATGGATAACAATCGCCTTTCACAAATGAATTAATAATAAAATATTAAGAAATCGAATAACACATGATATTGATTTAATATTTATATGATTCAACAATTATTGATTCTGAGAATTATGCTATAATAAGTAGTTTTATAAATTGGTTAAATTATATATCGAGCTTATAATAAAAGTCATTATACTTTTAATTACATGAACAAAGTATATGTACAGTTCCTCAATAGCATTTTCCTAATATTTGTTATTACAATTATTCGAAATTGAAATAAAATATATATAATAAAAGAACGTATTCAAATACAAAATTTAAAATATTAATATAAAATTAAATTAAAAAAAAAGTATATTTATCGAAAAGTTCACAAAATTCATCTGAATGTTAATTTAATTCAATCATATTGAAGATCACTGAAATAATCTATTTTTAAAGCAACATCTAAAAATTCGAAATTTGATATAATCCTATTGCTTTTAAATTTAAAACAAAATTTATCATTTTGGCATAATTTGTTGGTTTATTTAATAACTTTACATGTAAGTTTTGTCTAAACTAACTTGTATTATAAATATGTGTAATGAGGCTACATAAATTAGAATCATTTTGTTTCTGTTTGTTCATATATATTTATAAACGTAAACATTAATTATATTAAATAATTGAATAAATATAATTGAAAAAAATGTTTTATTTATAAGCATACAATATTCGGTAGAAAAGCAAACTCAAACTGAATAGAAGATATATTCTAAAATAGAGAATATTATAAAACTATTTTAAAAAAATACATATATTTTAATTAAATATGACCTACATTTCAGAGCCTACTAAAAATGACATAAATGAATGTGCAACTTCAAAAATCATGAATTTTAACTAACAGTAATTGTTAAATATTAGTTAATGACTATAATAATTAATTTTGATAATAATTTTAATTATCTAGCAAATTATATCTTAATTTAATTAATTAGGATTAATGTAGAAAATAATTTGACGTGGGCAGTAGCTTTATAAAAAAGTAACTTAGAAAGATTCTAAAAAACGACAACAGAAAAAAAGCTAGGAAATATTACGGTAAGAAGTAGAAAAATTTAGAAAATCGGTAAAATTTATACATTCAAATTATTATAACAATTTTTCGTCTATTTTATCAAATGCTAGCAAATTAAATATTAATCCACTTAAATGAAAATATCTTACAAAGAAATGTCAAACATCTAAAAATTTGAAATTTGATATAAACCTATTGCTTTTAGTTTCAAAATAAAATTTTTCAATTTGGTATAATTAAAATTTTGCAGATAAATTTGCAGATAAGTTCTCTCTACACTAAATTGCTTTATTAATTATTATGAAGTTTGTTTTCATTCGATCATGTATTTATAAACTTAAATATACTTTCAATTAATTAATTATGTCTTATATATCCATGGTTTGAAAAAAAAAATGAAAACTGTTTCATTTATAAGCACACAATATTCGGTAATCGTATGGTTTAAAATCCGCAAATGGTATAAAAAAAGCTAACTGAAATTGAATAGAAGAGATATTTTAAAATAGAGAATATTATAAAACAATTTTGTAAAAATATTATATTCTAATTAAATATGACCTGCGTTTCAGAGCCTACTAAAAATGACATAAATGAATGTGCAACTTCAAAAATCAAGAATTTTAATAGTAATTGTTAAATAATAGTTAGCGATTATAATAATAATTTTGATAATAATTTTAATTTACCCAAATTCTAGCAATTTATATATTAATTTAGTTAATTAGGATTAACGTAGAAAATAATTTGTCGTGGGCAGTAGCTTTATAAAAAAGTAACTTATAAAGAGTCTAAAAAACGACAACAGAAAAAATGCTAGGAAATATTACGATACGAAGCAGAAAAATTTAGAAAATCGGTAAAATTTATACATTCAAATTATTATAACAATTTTTTGTCTATTTTATCAAATGATAGCAAATTAAATATTAATCCACTTAAATAGAGATATCATTTTACAAAGAAATGTGAAACATCTAAAAATTCGAAATTTAAATTAATACTAATGCTTTTATTTTTAAAATAAATTTTTATATCAATTTGGCATAATTAAATACTTTCAGTTAATTAATTAAGTCTTATATCCATTTGAAAGAAATTAAATCTGTTTCATTTATAAGCAAACAATATTCGGTAATCTTATGGTTTAAAATCTGCAAATGATATAAAAAAACAAACTAAAATTGAATAGAAGAGATATTTTCAAATAGAAAATATTATAAAACAATTTTATTAAAATATTATATTCTAATTAAATATGACCAACATTTCAGAACCAACTATGAATATCTTGAGTTAATGTGCAACTTCAAAATCATGAATTTAATACAGTAATTGGTTAATATTAGTTAATGATTTTTTTATTCAATTTGATAATCATAATGATTTAATTTTCTTCAATTGTAGCAACTTATATATTAATTTAATTAATTAGATTAATGTAGAAAATAATTTGACATGGGCAGTATATCTTTATAAAAAAGTAACTTAAATTAGTTTTTAAACGATACGAAGCAGAAAAATTTAGAAAAGCCGTGAAAATTGATTTATTCAAATTATTATTTTTATTCATAATGATTATTTTTTATCTTTATTAAATATTTTAGCAAATTAAATATAAATCTATTTGAATAAGATATCTTACATAAAAAACAATTTCGTGTGGCCAGAATATATATAGAGTAGTAAGTCACTACAGAAAATTTTCAGAAAATATTATGATGTAGAAGATAAAATTTTGAAATTGAATCAAAACTATTAATTCTGATAATTTTAATGATTTATTTGTGCTAACAAATTCTAGCAAATTATATATTAACACACTATAGGCGGTCCCTGTACAAATATTCGCAATAATAAATTGATATGTGTAGAATTATTCAAAAATTTTAATATCCAAGTGTCAATAACTAAAAATTATGTAAGAAGTTCAAAGCACTAAAGTATGCTTTTCTACGAATTATTCAAAATTTTAATACCAAAGTATAAATAACGGTTTTAATAAATTTTATCTTGTTCTTACTATAATGTAATTATGTACAATTTGTAATGTTCAAAATAAAAATTTGAAATTATGTGCAGAAAAGTAAAAAGTGTTCTAAAACTATTAAATACAAGTTTAATGATTAGTGCCTTAGCTCGAATTATTTCAACTACGAAATTCAACTTTTAACTTTTAAATTCTATGCAGGAATAACAGCTTCAACTAAAGTTCAGTCAAATATAGTTTTGCTTTGATATACATAAAACAGTGTCCAGAGTAAAATTTCTAAGGTATTCAAATAAATGTAAAAAAAATCCGAAATTCACACATTGCTAAATATATTACCAAAAAAGCGTTCAAATCAGTTTCATTCAAAATTTAATATATCGGTGTATATAACAGTTCTTACTAAATTTAAAAATTAGAAATGTGTTTTGTTTAAAACCCACTCGATAAACAAACCAAGATAATGTCGGCAACAAATAATACATGAGTTATGAATAAAAATCATCAGACCGGAACTAAAATTTTCTCTACAATTAGAAAATATTCAAAAATATTTGGAAATGTTAAAAAATTAGATAAAAAATGCTATAAAATTTAAATTGAATAAAATTATCATAAAAGGTGAGATATAGACATAAAATATAACATAAGGGACAAGAAAGGTTACGTAATATGGGCAAAATAATGAATATCATTTAACGGTGGTAGTCAGTATACTATTTAGCCTAACATATCCATATATTTATTATAGTGGATTAAAATATATTTTTATACTTAGCTAACACGCAATATCAGATAAAATTAAAAAATACTTGATAATGTGGTGTTTTATTGAAAAACGATTTAAAACTCTTTCAAATTTTGTTGCAAAAAGTCAGTTGCCAAAGTCAGTAATAGTAAATATCTTATATATATATATATATATATATATATATATATATATATATATATAGCAATGTTTCCCAAAGGGCGTTTGAAGCTCAGCAAACAACGTAAAAAGGAGCGATCCCAAGCAGAAGCCGACTAATTCTCGAAAGTCTGTTATTTTGATGTTAGTTTACATGGAAAAAGTATGATAAAAATGTGAGCAACAAAAACAAGAAAAACCAAGCCTACGAGCCTCGTGTATAATACAAGTATATTCAAAACTAAGGGATTTGGAAGGCTTAGAAAACATTTGGAAGGCTTTGCACGGTATAACGTAATATGTTTTCTTGATAAAAGTTTCCGACTTCTAGCCTTACTATTTTTTCCGAAAAATTAATGGACGAGTATATTCAACACATACAAAAATACATCTCTCAAATTGCCAAATCCTTGTAGACGATAACTATTGGGACTTAACATTTAACCCAACATTATTGTAATACTGTTTGTAATTATATTTACAATATGTTATCCGTTGCAAGCACACAAAAATTGAGAAAACAATATAAAAATTTTATATATTTCAATGGGATAAAGATTAGTTATGGAAAAAGCACTCATCCACCAACTTGATCAACACACCGTATTACGATCGCAAAAAGTATTGTAAACGATTAGCCAATTGATATCAGAACAAAAATACTTATGATTATATTTTGTTGAATGTTACTAAAAAACAATGCGGTTTTTTGTGTACTCCTTGAAGAATTTATTAGAATGTAATATATGCAATAAAACCTTGCTTGAGCAGCTATGTTTGACAGAACCTGCTAGTATATATATATATATATATACTCGTATATATATAATATATATATATATATATATATATTTATACATGTATGTATATATAAGTATACAGTCAGTTCTACACCAAAAATTAAGTTTGATAAATAATAAAACAATATGGAAATGCAAACAGAAACTTGTAAAATTATTGATTTGAAATTAAAACCGAAAATAATTAGAAATGCAAAAAACTATTTTTTTCATATGCCTACGTTTTAATGCGCAATGCAATACAGATTAAGGCTAAGCGTAACATAAGAGAATTTCACCAAATTAGTCATTATACAGTCAGTACTACACCAAAATTTGAAATACTTTATTAGCATTATTAAAAGTCAAAAGTAGCTAATTTAAAGTCACAAAATGAAATTGGTAGTAGGTTATTCTAGCATCCGACCTACAAGAATAAAACCGAGAATAATTAGGAATGCAAAAAAACTAATTTTCTTTGTATGTCCACTTTTTAGTGCGCAATGCAATTTAGATATATCATAAGAGAATTTTACCAAATTAGTAGAATTTTTGTCATCGGAAATTGCTCAGAATTCCAACACCACATTTGGACTAAAAGTCCTCATTGACTCCATAAGGAAAAGACACCAAAAGCCAATAATACTGCTATAAGTTCTTAGAACATCGACCCATTCTGCTTTGTGGGACAAGTATAAGTTTAAAGTGAAGGTTATAGTTGGTTTTATGAGTAAAAGTTTTTTATAAAATGTTTATATAAATAAAAAAATATTTATAAATACATAAAATTGATATGTGGATATGGATGAGGGAAACAATTAATAATATTTTTATGATGTATTTTGACTACTGTGAGTAGTTTAGAAAAATATCCAAAGAGATCAAAAATATTTGAAAATATTTCATATTGTTAAAAAAGTATTTTATTTCGATTTTAATTGAAACAATTTAGTTGCCAAAATTAATTATCTGGAGGGAATGACCTCAGAACCTGCTGTTTGCAGCAATCATTTGGATTAACAACAATCCAAAATATCTAAGTGGTTATCAGAACGCCGAGTATTTCAGTTCTGCCTAATACAAAAATGTAAAATGAACTTAAATCAAACTGTATGTAAAATTAAATATTTTAATAAAAATATAATAATGTTACTGATATATTTTTAGAGCGCGAATGAAACTCGGCGAACACAATGACCAATCGGGTATAGATTGCAGGGACGATAAAGACTATTTGAATATATTTACTATTGTTAAAAATTTGTTTTATTTTGATTTTGATTGCTACAATTTAGTTGCCAAAATTATTTATCTGGAGGAAATGTCCTCAGCCCTACCTGAGTAATTACGTTTGACCTGTTTGCATCAATCATTTGGATTGCCAACAATCCAAAAATATCTAGTCTTATCAGAATTCGTGTATTTCAGTTCATGCTTATACAAAAATGTAAAATGAACTTAGATCAAAATTATGAAAAATTAAATCTTAAAGTAAAAATATTTTATTATTTCTGATTTGTTTTTTAGAGCGCGAATCAGACTCGGCGACGTAATGTCAATCGATAATCGCGGGGACGATCAAAAATATTTGAATTTATTTACTATTGTTAAAAAATTTGTTTTATTTCATTTTGATTGCTATAATTTAGTTGCTAAAATTAATTATCTGGAGGAAACGTCCTCAGACCTACCTTGAATAATTGCGTTAGACTTGTTTTGCAGCAATCATTTGGATTGCCAACAATTAAAAATATCTAGTGGTTATCAGAACGTCGAGTATTTCAGTTCTGCATTATACAAAAATGTAAAATGAACTTAGATCAAAATTTATTAAAATTAAATCTTAAAGTAAAAATATTTTATTATTTCTGATTTATTTTTAGAGCGCGAATCAGACTCGGCGACGTAATGATCAATCGGGTATAGATTGCGGGACGATCAAAAATATTTGAATTTATTTACTATTGTTGAAAATTTGTTTTATTTCATTTTTGACTGCTATAATTTAGTTGCTAAAATTAATTATCTGGAGGAAACGTCCTCAGAGTCTGCTTGAGTAATTACGTTTGACCTGTTTTGCAGCAATCATTTGGATTGCCAACAATCCTAAATATCTAGTGGTTATCAGAACGCCGAGTATTTCAGTTCTGCATAATACAAAAATGTAAAATGAACTTAGATCAAAATTTATGAAAAATTAAATCTTAAAGTAAAAATATTTTATTATTTCTGATTTATTTTTAGAGCGCGAAATCAGACTCGGCGAATGTAGTGATCAATCGGGTATAGATCGCGGGGACGATCAAAAATATTTGAATTTATTTATATTGTTGAAAAATTTTTTTTATTTCAATTTTGACTGCTATAATTTAGTTGCTAAAATTAATTATCTGGAGGAAACGTCCTCAGAGCCTGCTCTGAGTAATTACGTTTGACCTGTTTGCAGCAATCATTTGGATTGCCCACAATCCAAAATATCTAGGTGGTTATCAGAACGCCGAGTATTTCAGTTCTGCATAATACAAAAATGTAAAATGAACTTAGATCAAATTTATTAAAAAATTAAATCTTAAAGTAAAAATAATTTATTATTTCTGATTTATTTTTAGAGCGCGAATCAGACTCGGCGAATGTAGTGATCAATCGGGTATAGATTGCGGGGACGATCAAAAATATTTGAATTTATTTACTATTGTTGAAAAATTTGTTTTATTTCAATTTTGACTGCTATAATTTAGTTGCTAAAATTAATTATCTGAAGGAAACGTCCTCAGAGTCTGCTCTGAGTAAATGCGTTTGACCTGTTTGCAGCAATCATTTGGATTGCCACAATTCCAATATCTAGGTGGTTATCAGAACGCCGAGTATTTCAGTTCTGCATAATACAAAAATGTAAAATGAACTTAGATCAAAATTTATGAAAAATTAAATCTTAAAGTAAAAAATTTTATTATTTCTGATTTATTTTTAGAGCGTAAATCAGACTCGGCGAATGTAGTGATCAATCGGGTATAGATTGCGGGGACGATCAAAAATATTTGAATTTATTTACTATTGTTAAAAAATTTGTTTTATTTCGATTTTGATTGCTATAATTTAGTTGCTAAAATTAATTATCTGGAGGAAACGTCCTCAGAACTTGCTCTAATAATTACGTTTTGACCTGTTTGGATTGCCAACAATCCAAAATATCTAGTGGCTATCACAACGGAGAGTATTTCAATTATGCATAATACAAAAATGTAAAATGAACTTAGATCAAAATTTATTAAAAATTAAATCTTAAAGTAAAAATATTTTATTATTTCTGATTGTTTTTGAGCGCGAATCAGACTCAGCGAACATAATGGTCAATCGGGTATAGTTTGCGGGGATGATAAAAATATTGAATTTATTTACTATTGTTGAAAAATTTGTTTTATTTTGATTTTAATTGCAACAATTTAGTTGCCAAAATTGATTATCTGGAGGAAACGTCCTCAGAGCCTGCTCTGAGTAATTAAGTTTGACCTGTTTGCAACAATCATTTGGATTGCCACAATCCAAAATATCTAGTGGTTAATCAGAACACAGTATTTCAATTCTGCATAATACAATAATGTTAAATGAACTTGGATCAAAATGTATGTAAAATTAAATATTTTATTAAAAATATAATAATGTTTCTGATTTATTTTTAGAGCGCGAGTCAGACTCGGCGAACATAATGATCAATCGGGTATAGATTGCGAGGACGATGTTTGCGCAGAACCTGTCCAAGATTTCGATCCTGTGAAAATAATTCCACATCCAGAATACAAAGACGAACTATTTAAACATGATATAGCTCTGATAAAATTGGATAGAAAATATAATAAAAATGGTAATTATTATTTGTTTTTACATGCATTTATAGAAAATATAGTTCCAATATTTGAGGGTTAAGAAACATCAAACCGCGGTAGTGTAACCAGGGACTAGTAACCATGTATCATGAATTTTTTTTTAACAAATGCTAATATAATATAAACTATGTCAATAGACAAATTATATGTAGTAAGGAAAAAGTTCCAAATTACTAATCATATTTAAATTGTTTAAGTCCTGAACGTAAGGACTTCAACCAAAATCGTTCACAAAAATTTATAACAATAAAATAGATTACTAAATTGCAATTAAATAAATTACTACATTCCATCAAGCGGATTAAAAATATAATGGACTTTCATTTAACTAACTCTGACTCCAAATCAGCAAAAAATTATATAATTACTACTTATATCAAAATTACAAAACAAATAAAATGCTTAAAACTTTATAAGCTTTAAAATTTTAGTAAATATAACTTTATATTTATTAAAATAATATTACAACTTTATTAAGCGGCAATAATATTAGGTGAGGTAAACTTTAATAGTAAGGACTATCAAGGAAAAATCAGTTATCGGATTTGTAATCTTCGGACTATTACTAGCAATATATCATAAATTTAAAAAAAAATAAAATGTGTTTTTATTGCACTGAGAAAACATCGGTAAACAAATTTCAACTCATTTTAATCATTTGAGAAAAAAAGTTTAAAATCATTATTATGATTATTTACCAATATTTTGCTGTATAAATGTTGTCAAAAACAGAATCATAGTAGAGTTTTGGTTGAGAACAGGGGCACTACAATATATATATATATATATATATATATATATATATATATATATATAATAACTAGTTTGCAAAATAAACTATGCCAAAAAACACCATTTATTAACGATTACCAAAATACCACATAGTTAATTATCAGCATATAGTAAATATAATTTAACTAAGACCATTTTAGGACAAAAATGTAATAATAAATTGTTATAAAATAGTAGTTATATATTAAAATAGCTGATTAATTATGGATCAATTTACAAATCAAAATATGTTGCTAAAAGAATATGTATTAAATAACATATAGTAATAAAATTGTAAAATTTCGTTATTAACAAAGACTAAAATTCGAATTTCAAAACAAATGGACTAAAAAACAATATTTCGCAACTTATACAAAAATATTAACAACAATTAAATTACTTCATTGATAGCGATTTAATTAGAAAATATATTAACTGTTATAAACGCTATTCTAGAACAATATGATAATTGTGAGATTGAGTGTGATATTTTAGTAAAGTAAATATTTCCACATGTACTATAAAATTTGTGCGTAAATTCTATTTTGTTAGGACAATTAATTTTAATAGTTAACTTTTACTAAAATGCCTTGAATAATTATTAGCCAGATATATTACTTATGGATACAATGATTAATTGATTTTTCGAGTTCGACAGTTGTAATTGAGAATTTACACTAATAACTAAAATTTTTAAAGCAAATAGAGAGAGTAATATGTAATAAAAGGATTCAAAACACTTTTCGATTGCACTTCTTCGAAGTTGAGAACAGATTAACGAAGCTTGTAGTAAAAGCTGGTTGGTTTGGGAATACAGAGCAGAATGTCCAAAATAATTTAAAAATGCTAATGTGCATATTTTAGATAGTATATAATAGAGTAACTTTGAAAAAATTAAAAATAACGTAGCTAAAATATTCAAGTATAAAATTAATTATATTTATAAATAATGTTTTTTATAAATTCCTCTACCATTTTTTGAGAAATTTTACATACATTCATCATATTTGCACAGAAACATTTTAAAATGCGCTTTCTAAGTTACGTAACTAAATATGAAAAATATTTTCTAAAGGTTGGGTGTATCCAATTTGTACAATTAGTGGAGACTTGATTTTCAAGGACTATGTGGGGACTTATGCAGAAGTTGCTGGATGGGGCTTTACAGATCGAGACTCAGAAGTACTTGCACATGTATTGCAAACAATTCAGGTAAAATATTTATTTTAATTTATTTAAAATAAAGCTAATTAGATAGCCAAACAATGTTTTTTGTTGTTTAATAAAACATCAACAAAAATTTGCTACTTACATAAAAATGAATATATCAAAAGCAGCCTATAATCTACGTAGAATATTTAATTCGATCATTTCACCATTCGATTATGGAATAAATTCTTATAATTCAAATTTAAACATATATAAATTTAAATTAATATTGGTAAATTGCATTTTATTTTACACAAGCAATAGTATTCTAGTTCAGGTTGTAGTATTCTATATTTCAAACTTTATTTTAATTTTCATTTTTTAATTTTAAAATTTCATTTTTAAATTTTAATATTCATTTTTTGTATTTCTGTAATCTAAAATAATTAAATAATATGCATGCGCTTTAAAGAAATTAAAAACAATGACGATAGATGAAAATGTGCAATAAATTGGGGGTTTCCCATTTAAAAACTAAATTTCTAAATATTTCTAGAAAATTTTTTAGTTATTTTGTTGTATGGTTCATGAATTACACATGGTTGGTCATGAAAATC